CAGGCGTGGTGGTCCACGCCTTTAATCCCAACACTTGGGAGGCAGAGGCAAGTGTATTTCTGTGAGTGTAAGGCTAGCCTTATCTACATAGCATGTTCCAGGGCAGCTGAGACTTGACACCTTGGGTTAACCCCTCCCCTCCAAAAAATATATGTATAGTATTTATTCTTATTTCTCAGGTTCTTGCCTTTTCTCCTTAAAATTTATGTCTAGAGCAAGCCCTGGCCTTGGAGTGATTTAAGGGGGATGAAGCCATTTGGTGGCTTGGAGGTAGGACTCAGCTGGGACCGGCAACTGCAGCTCTGGGCGCACAGCCTCTGGACGGACCCTTGGCTTCTCATAGTTTGGTGGTTGGGTTCCAAGAGTGGGCATCCCAGAGCAGCTTCCAAGATGTTTCAGTGTGAAGCCTTTTGTGACCCAAGGCTCCTAAGTCACATAGCATTGCTCCCTTCCTGCTCATAGTCAGTGGAGACACATAGCACCGCTCAGTGGGAAGAAGGCCAAGTAATACGGAATGCTTTTCTTTTTTAAATCTTTTTGAGACAGGGTCTCCCTGTAGCCCCAGCTGGCCTGGAACTAGCTATGTAGACCAGGCTGGCCTCGATCTCACAGCCTGCCTCCTGAATTCTGGGACTAAAGGCGTGCGCCATCATGCCCAGCTGTGGTCAATTCTTAAAACCACTACAGAATGATGTGCTGGACCTGGGAGGCATGTGGGCAATGGCTCTATGAGCAGGTGTGATAGGCTTCTCTCTCTTTTCTCCCTTGGTTTTTCAATTACAATTTTTATATTTTAACTTTATTTTTAAAAATCTTCTGGATTCATTTTATGTGTATGAGTGTTTTGACTACATGTATATAGTATATTATACTCGTATATAAGTAAACCACATGCATGAAATGTCTGCAGAGGCCAGAAGAGGGCGTCAGATTCCCTGGAACTGGAGTTACAGTTGTTCATCACCATGGTGGTGTGGGCTGAACCTGGGTCCTCTGTAAGAGCAGCCTCTGCTCTTAGCCACAGAACCATCACTCTAGCCCCAGGTTTCGCTACACTTTAATGCAATCTCCTGAAATGTTTGTTTGCCAGAGCAGGGTTCATACAGTGTCATCTTCCCAGGTGCAGATACCCCTGGAGGATTAGAAGGAAAGGCTGTGGCATGCCAGCCATGGTAGTACACGTCTTTAGTCCCAGCATTTGGGAGGCAGAGGCAGGTGGATCTCTGTGAGTTCAAGGCCAGCCAGGTCTACATAGCGAGTTCCAGGCCTGCCAGGGCTACACAGTGAGATCATGTCTGGAAAAGCAAAACAAAACAAAAAACACAGCATGGTAAATACCTTCTTGTCTCCCACTCAGGACATTCTGATGCCTGCCCCTGCCCCATCCTTCACTTGGAAGGACACATAGCACAGAAGCATACCAACTCGTATGCTATCCAGTGTCTTAGCGTTTTTATCGTAGACTGAAGAATTTCTTTTTAGAAAGTCTTATAATGAATTTTAATTAAGAAATTCTTAAATTTGGAATTTCTTTTAATGACAATCCCATTTAAGCCAATTGAGCCAAAATCAGAATTAAGGGAGGATTTCTCCAAAGTGGTCCTGCCTGGAATGTATCTCCACTTATAACTGCTTTGAAGTGAAAGAACGGCAGTTTCCTCCCAGGAAGCATTGCTGTTCCAGGAATTGGTGGCAACCATGGACGTATCAGAACTAATAGTTCAAAGCCACAAAAGCAGTCACTCATTTTTTCCCTCTCTAGAGAAGGAAATTAGTGGGATTAAGGCAGCAGGGTTGCCACAAACTTGAGGCCAGCCTCCTGGGCTAAATAGTGAGAACCCTGTGTTCAATACCTAGGACCCACATGGTGGAATGACAGATATCATACACACACACACACACACATGCACACACACATGAAATAAATAAGTAAATAAAAGTTTAAAAATTTTAAAATATTTATTTTTATTTTATGTGTATGAGTGTATTGTCTGCAGGGTGTAAGTGCACCCGTGTCGTGCAGTGCCCATGGAGGTCAAAAGCGGGTATCAGATCCCCTGGAACTGGAGCTACAGATGGCTGTTAGTTGCCATGTGGGTGTTGGGAATCGAACCTGGGTCCTCCACAAGAGCAGTCAGTGCTCAACTGCTAAGCCATCTCTTCAGCCTCATAAAAGTTTTAAAATTTTTAATTAAAAAAGAAATTAATGAATTCATTTGGGATTAGAAAGAGGGGTAGTGTGGCTCCGTGGTGGCAGGCTTGCCTAGCGTGTGCAAGGCCCTGGGTTCGATCCCTAGCACTGAAAAAAAAGAATAAAAGAGAAATAAAGGTCAAGGAGACATAAAGATACCAGTGCCTTCTACAAATAAATTACTGCCTTAGGAACATAAAAATCACAATGTACGACTTACTTAGAAGCAGACTAATTCACTGTGAATTAATTTGTCAAATGTATGCTTGCCAAAAATCATTTGGCCAAATGAACAATTTATTGAATTTGCCAACTTACTGAAGATATATTTCCTTTAAATATTTGTAAAGTTTATAGCAGTTCATATTGGTGGTGGTAATAGAGCCAAGAGAGGCAGAGTGACTGGACTGAGGTCCTCAGGGTGCTCAGACTCCTCTGCACCTCAGCACCCTTTCCTGCCATGTGTTGGCCCCTTCCTTCATGTCTTTCCCCCTGCCCACCCTCCCCTCACACTAGCTTCTCAAGAATGGATCATCAAGGCCATGCAGTGTGCTGACCTCCAGTAAGTGCCCTCTCTGGGATGCCTCTCCCTAGCCTTGCCCCATGCCACCCCAGAAAGCAGAGAATAATGATTCCTTCAAACGCTGCCACAAAGGGCTTGAGAGATGGCTCAGCAGTTAGCACTTGCTGCTCTTGCGGAGGACCGAGGTTCAGTCCCCAGCACCCATACCAGGAAGCTTGCGACCACCTGCAGCTCCAGTTCCAGGAGATCTGATACCCTTTGGCCTCCATGGACACCTGTGGTGCAGGACACGTGGTGCACATAAACTCACACAGGCACACACACATAAAAAAAGTAATAATTTTTAAATGCTTCCATAAAGAAGGAATGAAAACTACTGTATTAAAATTTTTACATAAACTTGCAAAAGCTGCTAAAAGCCTTCTGTTTATATAGTTGCCTATTTCTCTATTGAAAATTACCCTAAAACATAGCTAAAAACAGTATGGCTGTCACTCCATGGACCAGGCTGACATCAAACTCTCAGTCTTACTTCTCTGCTTCCAGAATGCTGGGATTACAGGCCTGTGCCACCACTCCTGGGTAGTATTTATTATACCATAGTCTTACTATGTATCCCAGTCTGGCTTGGAACTCACAATCTTCCTGTCTCGGGCTGCTCAAGTGCTGAGATTTAGGTGTGCACCACCACATCCAGGTTCTTTGACGCCCCCCCCCAATCTAATGGTTTAGTTTCATGGGAATGAACCTAGGGCATCACACCTAATAGACAAATCCTCTATGACTAAACTAACCCTCAGTCTTTATTTTTCTTGTATTATGTATTCCTTAAAATTAAATATATTCATGTTTTTCAAATATATTGAGCTAAATATTAATATTTCCTCATAAGTTTTATATTCTCTTTCTGCCCCTCTGCCTCTCCCTTCCCCTCGCTTCCTCTTTCTCTACTCCCATTTCCTCTCTCTCAGAGACGCGGTCTTGCTGTGTGGCCTGGGTTGGCCTCCAATGTGCAGTCTTCCTGCCTGTGTTGCAAGTGCTGATTACAGGTCTGCACCACTATACCTGGTCAAGTTGTATTCTTTATATCAATGGTTTATAATTAATTACTTTTCTTTTTTTTCTTGAACGTCATCTTCAGTGATATGTCAAATTTTGTAGATATTTTGAGTAACTGGGGCATGGATTTATTTCTTGATTCTCTAAAAAATTATTAATTTTGCTTTCAATTAATTCCCTTATCCTATTTTTTATGTTTGATTTTGTTATCCTTCTTTCTTTTCTTGTGGATGTGAATATGCATGTTCACATGTATGCATGCATATGTATTCTTTACTTTAGAAAATATATTATTTTTATTTTATGTGTATGAGTGTTTTGCCTGCATGTGTGTGTACATATGTATTTTTGTGCATGCTTGCAAGTGCTTTACAGACATAGCTATCTCCCAGACCCCCAACCCCACCCCCATTTTTTGACATAGGGTTTCATGCAACTCAGGCTGGTTTTGAATTTCTGATCATCTTATGCACTCATGCGCTGGGATTAGGCGTGTACACCACCACGCCCAGTTTATAGGGTGCTGGAGATCAAACCCATAACTTGATGTATGCTAGGCAGGTACTCTACCAACTGAGCTATATCCTCAGTTTGGTTTGCTTAGTTTTGCAATGTTTGGATTTGAGCATTCAGAAATTTTAAGTTTTTGTTTATTGATAACTTAATTTGCTGTAGATTTGTTTTACTGAAGACTCACTGTGGTGTTTCGTAACTTCACACAGTGTTCTGTCCATAATATTCTAAATATAGTTTTGCTTTTCTGTTGACATAGAATTTTTTCCTTTTATCAAAATTGTAATTAGAAAATTCACGAACTCTTCATGATTAGATTCAGAATTTCCTGAAATAATAATTATATTTCCCTTTCCGTCTTTTTTGGGGGTGGAGGGGAGGAAGACTCAGAACTCTGAGCTGCGCACTTGTTAGACAAGTGCTCTGCCTTGGAGCTACAACTCAGTCCATATCTTCCCACCTTAGTGATTTTGTTGTCTTCTTAGTCTGCTCTGGAACATCATCTTCACATTTTCTTCCAAACAACAGAGTATAGACTTTCCAAGTAAAAGGCCCAAATCAAGAGCTCACAGCTTGGAACCACAGATGTTCAGGGAAGCTCTGGGAGCTTTTTTCTTCGTTTTCTGACATTGTGTGATGGAAGGATTTGGGCAGAAGAACACATTTTTAATTTTCACATAATGATTTTATGTAGTGACTGCCTTTGTTCACCACTCAAAGCAGATACTTCCTCAGTGTCCTATTCACTGCTGCCTTCACCTCCTTGTTCTTCAGACTGTAGATGAGGGGATTCAGCATGGGGGTGACCGCACTGTACTGCAAAGACAGGAGCAGATCCAGGGAGGAACCAGAAGGGGGCTTGAGGTAGCAAAGAAAACCTGACCCAAAGAACAAGGTCACTGCAACGAGGTGAGAAGAGCAGGTAGAGAAGGCCTTGCTTCTCCCTGTGGTGGAGCTGATGCGCAAGACGGCGGAGACAATACGGGCGTAGGAGAAGAAGATGGGGAGAAAGGTTCCAAGGCCATGCAGTAAGCTGGAGCAGAGCAGGATGTTGACAGTGATGGAGATGTCGGAACAAGACAGGGGGAAAAGGGCAGGCAGTTCACAGGTGTAGTGGTGGATGGTCTGGGCCTCACAGAAGTCCAGGTTAACTGCCAACAGCACAATGATGATTGCATTGAGAGAGGCCACGCCCCACGAGACCAACACGAGCCTCACACACAACTCATTTCTCATCACCTGGCCGTAGAGCAGTGGATGGCAGATGGCAGCATAGCGGTCATAGGCCATCACTGAGAGCAGACAGGCTTCAGTCCCAGAAGAAAAAAACACAAAGAAGACCTGAGTCAGGCAGCCCTCCACTGAGATGGCTTTCTTCTCAGACAGGAAGTCCTGCAGTAGCTTGGGCATTGTGACAGAAGAAAAGCAGAGGTCTATAAATGAGAGATTGCTTAAGAAGAAGTACATGGGAGTGTGGAGGTGGCAGTCAGCCCTGATCACCAGCAGCATCATCAAGTTTCCTGCCATGGTGAGGAGATAAATCACCAGGAACAGCACGAAAAGCAGAGCCTCGATCTGGGGGTCGTCAGAGAGCCCAGTGAGCATGAACTCCGTGATGGCGCTGTGGTTCCTCCAGGCCATCTGTGGGTGATATTTCCTTGGAATAAAGTGGAAAAGGGGTGAGATTTCCTATGATTTTCTTGTTACTTAGGGTATCATCTCGCCTGCTCCCACACTCCCCCAGCTCTGTCTGAACCTGAGCAATGGCATGTCAAGCTGCCCTCTGCATGTCTCCCAGAGTTCTATTCATCTACTCTGTCATTAGCCTTTGCTGATTGTCCTGACATATTCCAGAGAATTCTATCCCTGCTCCCCAGGGTTTATGAGATAAATAATACTGCTGGGTTGTATCCATGTTTCTATTTGGTTTTCAGCACATGTTCTAAAGATCAGAAAGCCTTTCCATTGAGTCTTAAAGATGTTATACCACATGTCAGCAGAGGTTGTTCCAAACCTTCCCTCCTTCCTCCTTCCTCCACCCAGGATAGTCCAAGGATTCGTATCAGCCCATGCAATTTGAATAATAGTTTTTTTTCATTCAGAGGAATTTCTTGCTATTCTTGGGTGTTATCACAGAAATTCAGACCGGAAACTGGTTCTCATTTTACCCCTGAGGAACATGATGATGAGTCATGTTGATGTCAAGCAGGGAAGCCATGGGTGAAAATAAATCCCATTTTCTCCTAATTCTCAGTCTAATACTTTAGGTGCAGTCCACATGTATAAAGACAAATTTTTCTACCATGATGTTCCGATCTTTTCCTCATCTAGGAGCAGGGAGATATAGAAGAGTAATACAGAAAGCCATGCTGTTTGAGTTTGGCAGGGAGGTCAGCCATGTGGAGGGGAGGGGAGCTTTAGAGAAGGCACGACAAAGCCCAAAGGACCAGAGAAAGCGCACTTACGATCCGTCTAGAAGCTGAAAGAGAAAGGCAGAAGAGAAGGAGAAGGAAAAACCACATCTTTTGGAGAACTCCAAAAGATGGTAGACCCAATAAAGTCTACGGCAGCTCTGGGGAGACTGCACGGAGGGTGGGACTTTCCATGCTTTGGGGAGACTTTCCATTTATTTTCTCACGTACTCCAGGTCTGCCTTGAGTTCACTATACAGCTGACGACGCCTTTGAACTCCTGACTCTTCTGCTTTTTAGTGCTAGAATTACAGGTATGCACCACGATGCCTGGATTAACTCTTCCTCTTTTGAGAACAGAATGGTTTTCTACTTTCTTATGTTTTTGCTTATTCTGTCCATTCGAATGTCTTCTTTTGTTCCAGTTTTATTCCAAACTCTTACAAGTCTTTCAGGATCATCTCATGTCTCGTTATTTCTTCATCAAATATAACTTAAATTCTGGCCCTAATATCAAATCCATCAAGCCAAGATAAAGAACATCTTAGACCCAAGTCTAGGGTACCTGTGAGCCTGGTCAAATAGGACGGTATGTGCATGTGACTTCAGCCAGGTCCAGTGATGACAAAGCTTAGATACTGTGGTCACAACTTTTGATTACCCTGCATAAATCAATTTGTAAACATTGTTGAAAGCAAACATTGTACTTAGATTCTACATAAGCAAAGTGAAATGATAAATTTTTTCTATTCCCATCAAGGATTTGGATGTTTTAAAATTATTTGTGGGTAGAGCTTTCCTGATGATTGCCTCTATTCTCTCCTTTACTCACAAGGAGAACCTGATACAGTATCTTTGGGGAGCACAAAGTTTTGCCCAAGATTAGGGTAGCCTTTCTGAAGAAATTTTTTTCTCATATGCTAACATTCATGTTTTGTGTGGATGAAGAGAGACAACTATTTGTATTATATAAATGAGGGAAGTCACAAGAAAAGGAGCCAACTATTCCTCACCATCTTAAAGAGCATCTCAAACCAATTCCAGGGGTGTTTTGTTATTTTTATGGGTTATGTATCTGTGTGTGTGTGTGTGTGTGTGTGTGTGTGTGTGTGTGTGCGTGAGCACATGTGTTTGTGTGCCTGTTGAGGCCAGAGGGTGATGTTGGACGTCTTCTTCAGTTGCTTTCCACCTTGTTTTTGAGACAGGGTCTCTCACTGAACCTGGAGTTCTCTGAATCAGGTGGACTGGCAGGTTCCATGTCTCTTCCTGTCTCCCTCTCCCTGGCCCTGGTATCACAGGCACCAGCCCGGCTTTTATGTAGGTACTGGGGATCAAACTCAGCTACTTACGCTTACACAGCGAGTACTTTACCCACCGAACCATCTCCCCAGAAGCTTGATTACAAAGCTTTTAAAATGATAAAAGTCTTCTAAATTCTAGATAATAAATTCTAAGCAGGCTAAATATCTCAGTTTTTATCCACTATTTAGAATGAAAGACTTTAGCTAATTTTATGCTGGCGCTTAGATGTGTGGCAGATTTATAGATGGGTGAGAACAAAAGACTGAAGTTCAAAAGGGGATGATTTAGAGCAAAAATATCAAAAGAAGATTTCATACCTGTCTTAGATATGTTTTCCCACACTGATTGTTTAAAGATATATTAGGATTGAGAAAGTAAGTGAGGTACGTGTTTGGGGGGGGTCATTCTGTACAAGACGACTTGGCACAAGGTGACAAGGTGACCTCAAAGCTGAGGGTAAATGAAGACCTTAGGTGCATCAGGGAGGAATTTAAACTTAGGAGATCTCCAGTCCTTCCCTGTGTTCTGTCAAACTGTTCACACTGTCTCAGTGGTTATGAGATCTGATGGCGGTTCTAATTATAGAAAAGCTTACTGACAGGAGTTCTGTGCAAGTGAGGTGATAAGTAGTGCCAATAGTTTCTGATATTCTCATTTTATCCTAGGTGGCAACTTTCTGCAGTCTTTTGGAACCTTAAAGCGTGGAAAGATGTATGCTCAGGCGATAAAGTGTCCCTGTTTCCATGGTATGCAGGAAGGGGAGAGGGTCCTTTTTGAGCAGCTGTATAAAGCACCTGGAACAAATGTGACACATACTTAGGAATTAGAGACAACAGGGACTCATTCAGGGAGGAGGACCCACCAAGTACTGGGAAGTTTCCACCTCCTGCTGAGGCAAGTGGATGGATAGAGCGGCAGCTTCAGGATCTAGTAGCACTGGGGTGAATCAAGGAGTTAGAGGGTATGGGGATGGAGGAAAGGAAGGTCAGCAAACTTAAAACACAAATGTTATCTTTCAGAAAGAAAAAAAATAGGAGGAGCATCAGCTAACCTGGCATATATTACCATGCTCTGGCTTTTTCTGGAGGAGGCAGATCTTCAATGTTCTGACTTGCTCTTTGAGGGAAACACATCACAGGTAAAGTCTTCAGAGAGTGTCTATCAGAAGAGTGTCTCTGTGGGAGAAGACAGTTTCTTTTCTTGCTATCCACAGATTATGGGTTTTAGATAACTCTAGAAACACTTTAAATGCCACAGCATTAAAATTATTCTCCTGGAGTAAATAATCCTGGAGCGAAGCCTAAAGTGGTGTAATTCTATAATGCAGGACGCTAAAGAAAAATGGGTATTTCCCCTAAAGAAGCTCGTATTTCGTTCTGGCATCTATTTCATTAAAACATCATTACATGATTTCAGATCAAGCAAGCAATCATCCCTGTGATATTCTGAATATTTCTTTTGTGATAGTCTGAATATCATTTTTAAGACTATTACTTAAGGAACTCTCTAATGGAACCAATCAGAAGGCCATCTCTGCTCTGCATCCATAGGCTGTGTTTGGTACCCAGGGGAAGCTGGGCCAGTATCCTCTGAAGAATCAGACTGAAGCCAACCTCTGGACTCACTAATTACAGATTCTCATTAACTAGAAAGGTAAACAATTAGAAGAATGGGGACGTTGGAAGTTTCTAAATTAAGAGAACCATTTAAAGCCTAGAAGAGAACTTTTATGAAGCCGATGGAGACGGGAGAGGGAGCAACAAGAAGGAATCTTTTAAGGAAAATTTATTCTCAATAAAGTTTATTTTCTTCATGACCACCTGGGGCTGAAATGCTCTTTAGGGATTTAAAAGTGAGCTGAGCTGTGGCTGAGTTCCATCCTGTTTTCTTATGTGATAATCATCTTATAGACTTATTTATTTGGATTATTATCTAACTCCACCTATTTAAGGAAAACACATAAACTCTATGAAAGTAAGACTTCTTATTTTAGTATATACACAGCCTGGCACATGTAACCAAGCAGTTACTGAAAAACGGGATGAATTAAAGTGACACTTATCTAACTTACCTTTACATGAGGCATTATTTTAGTCTATCTGTGAGAAGATAATTTATTTCATAGCTGTGTTACTTACTATGTAGTGGGTTCAATGGTGGTTCCCCAAAATACATCCAAGTCCAAATACCCATAGCTTATAAATATTACCTCACTTGCTGGGTGTGGTGGTGCATGCCTTTAATCCCAGCACTCGGGGGCAGAGGCAAGTGGAACTCTATGAGGCCAGCCTGGTCTACCTAGTGAGTTCCAAGCCAGCTGGAGTTACAGGGAGACCCTGTCTCAAAAAGACTAGAAGAATAAAAATATTACCTTACTGGGAAAAGAGTCATGGAAAATTTTATTAAATTAAATATGTAAATTCTATTAAACTAAAAATGTTGTGATGAGATCATCTTGGATTACCCAGTAAGCCTTAAATATGTCAAGTGTCCTTGTAGGGAAAAGACAGGGGGACATTTGAAACAGACAGAAGACAAGACACAAGGAACGGAAGGAGACAATGTGATCAGGAAGGTAGAGAGTAGAGAGAGGTAACCACAGTCATGGAATGTTGGCAGTCACCAGAAGCTGGGTGAGGTGGAGAATATATTCCCTTTGAGAATCTTCAGTGGATGTGAAAAGCTGCTGATCCTTTGATTTTGTGCTTTTGGGCTCTAGGACCATGAGCCATTACAGTTTGATTATTTTAAACTACTAAAATTGTGTTATTTGTTGTTGTAGATGCAGAAACCAATATAGATTTTGGTACCAGAAGTGGGATGCTATTATAAAAATACACAAATGGCATTGGGTAATGGTTAAATACTAGAGGAAATTTGAAATACCAAGAAAAAAGGTTTGAATTTCTACTGGTTATAGTAACAAAT